CACCTCCTGCCTTTTAAATTATTGTTTAGTGTTGCTATTCATTGTTAAAAAGGTGCCACCTTTCACTTCAGAAGTGGCGCCATTTTAGTGATGAAGTGATTGCCTTATATAACTTCTATAACAGCTTGTAAAGCATTTTGTGATCCTTTGAGTTGAACAGTGCTATATAAATATAAAACCATTATCCATTAAGTCTGCTCAGTGGGGGCTGGTGTCACAGCTCTACTCAGCTATTTGTGGGTGAAGCAGTCAATTAGGTCTACTGCAAATGACAAAAGGAGTGGCCTGAAACTGTATGATCCTCAGCCTACAAATCTCTCCAAGAACAGTGGGTTAATCCATCAAGGTGTTCTGAGAATGTGAGCACGTAGTCAGAGGGGAGTTTGACCAAGTCCTAGGCTCCAACAGAGGGAACCGTAAAAAAAGAGGGCAGTAGTAATTTTAAAGTGTCTCTGATGGAGTAGCAGAAGAGGCACTTCAACAGAACAGGGCACTGAAGCAGAGTCACCACACTGGGAAAAGGGAGGAGATAACAATATAAATAAAAGAACCCCAATATCCTGAGAGGACCCAGCCTCCTGTAAAGAACTGGTACTAATTATTTGGGTTGGGCATTAATCAGGCCTCAAGTCTAGTTCTTTCTTAAAGCTCCTTGAATATGACCTGGACTTAGAGCTCAGCTACCTCCACAATTTATATTTATTAACAGAAGCCTAGTCATATATGATGGTTCTGTGCCAGGACCCATAACTGTGGCAATCAAATCAACCGGTCCCATCTAGCTAGTTATCCTGGAGCTCTAGCTCTTTGGACTAGTTATTCAAGTGATAAGTGATCAAGGGAGAGACTGCCCTTTCCAGTGGTTTATTCCTGAGGGGCAGAAGGGAAGATACATAACAGTCTAAAAGTTGCACATTAAGTTAAATAGCATACTATGATGTAATTTGCAAATAAAAATGAAAATATAAGATCATTTATAATAATAGGAAAAATAATGTCCCAGCCAGAGGATTCAGTAAACATTTGGAGCCAGGGATCAAAGAGCTTGGAAGGGAAAGCTCCCCTTACAAACAAATCATTGGCCAAGGTAGAGGTCCTCTTTCCTCTCCCCCACACTGGTTTAAGGCTGTGTACTATATGCTGTGAGATATGGAATCAGTCTGTCTTATAGGAAGCTTTCATTAAATAGAACTACAAACTTTACTATAGACATGAACAGGCAAGCTTCTGCACAGCTTCAATACCAGCTTTGTCTCTTTTTTTCATCATGGACCACACCTGCCTGGAACTCTATACAATTTACATAGATATCTACTGGCGAAATAATGTACTGCAAGTAAGTATATATCTGTGGAAACTCTGCAATGTATGTCTTGCAAAAGATTAAAGGAAACAGACCTCTCCTTATACCAAACGATGGGAGTCCCACTTGGAGCAGTGAAGCATCTATTAGGGCTGGTCCACACTAACCCCCCACTTAGAACTAAGATACGCAACTTCAGCTACGTGAATAACGTAGCTGAAGTCGAAGTATCTTAGTTCGAACTTACCGTGGGTCCACACGCGGCAGGCAGGCTCCCCCGTCGACTCCGCGTACTCCTCTCGCGGAGCAGGAGTACTGGAGTTGACGGCGAGCACTTCCGGGATTGATCCCAGAAGATCGATTGCTTACCGCCGGACCCGGAGGTAAGTATAGACGTACCCTTAGTCTTCAAACAGTAATCCTTTCTGCCAGGTGCAACCTGATTTATGATTCCCTCAATCTCCAGAGTCCTTTTTGATCAATTTAAATTGTTTCACTGGGTCTGTTTGGACTTTTTAATCTGGGTTCTCTTTAATATTGTCCTAAAATTACACTTTTTCATTGAGCTAAGGTCTGTTTGCTGCTGGTAAGGGTGGTATCAAATTGGCAAGTGGCCCATGAGATCATCCCTATATTAAGGATCTCTGTTCATGATATGTAGGGCCCTACCAAATTCACGTTCCATTTTGATCAATTTCACGGCCAGAGGGTTTAAAAATTGGTCAATTTCATCTGTTTACATCTGAAACTTCATGATGTTGTAACCATGGGGTCCCAACCCCAAAGGTACCCAGAGGTGGGTCCTGTCCTTCCCGAGCCCAGCAGGGCCTCGCAGCTAGGGGCCCCCTGGCTGGGGTGCTCCCGGCAGCAGCGGGAGATCGGACCCACCTTCACAAGCCTCCTCCAGCTGAAGGAACTTCCAGGGCTGCTGCCCAGCACTGGAGCTTCCTGCAGCAGGGGGAGGCACTCCGAGGTGGGTCTGATCCTACCCCCCCCCCCCGGACGAGCGGATGTGCCGGGGACGGACAAGTCCTGTCCCTCCCCAGACCAGCGGGGACTTGCAGAGAGGAGACCCCCAGCTGGGGCACTCCCAGCAGCAAGGGAGAGATCAGATTTCATGGGGAAGGGCTTATTTCACAGTCTGTGACACGTTATGGCTTCTGTCACTTTAAAAATATATTTGGGTATTTTAAGTATTCTTATGAGCTGGGTTAAACCTTGTTAGGGGTTGAGTTAAAACCATATTGAACCTGGTGAGTGAACGTGCCCTTTGCTTAAAATAGCTGGAAGAGACAGTTAAAGGGCCACATCTAAAACAAAGCCTAATAGTCTGCCCAGAAACTAGGTGGAGGGTTCCTCAGGGTATTATTCTGACCAGGTGGATATGTGTGAAGAAGACATGCTGGGTTGCAGGCAAGAAACAGGGAGAGACTGAGACCAGAATAAGGCCAGATCTACACTAAAAAGTTAAATTGACCCAGCTATGTCACTCAGCAGTGTGAAAAATCCACACCCCTGAGAAATTTAGGCCATCTCTACACTCAAGCCCTCCACCATCAGTAATTTTTAGTGAAGCTTTTGATACGGTGTCCCACAGTATTCTTGCCAGCAAGTTAAAGAAGTATGGGCTGGATGACTAGACTATAAGGTAGATAGAAAGCTGGCTAGATCATCGGGCTCAACAAGTAGTGATCAATGGCTCCAGGTCTAGCTGGCAGCCAGTATCAAGTGGAGTGCTCCAAGGGTTGGTCCTGGGGCCTGTTTTGTTCAATATCTTCATTAATGATCTGGAGGATGGCGTGGACTGCACCCTCAGCAAGTTTGCAGATGACACTAAACTGGCAGGAGTGGTAGATATGCTGGAGGGTAGGATACAGAGGGACCTTAACAAATTGGAGGATTGGGCCAAAAGAAATCTGATGAGGTTCAACAAGGACAAGTGCAGAGTCCTACACTTAGGACGGAAGAATCCCATGCACTGCTACAGACTAGGGACCGAGCAGGTAGGGAGCAGTTTTGCAGAAAAGGACCTAGGGGTTACAGTGGATGAGAAGCTGGATATGAGTCAACAGTGTGCCCTTGTTGCCAAGAAGGCTAACGGCATTTTGGGCTGTATGAGTAGGAGCATTGCCAGCAGATCAAGGGACGTGATCATTCCCTCTATTCCGCATTGGTGAGGCCTGATCTGGAGTACTGTGTCCAGTTTTGGGCCCCACACTACAAGAAGGATGTGGAAAAATTGGAAAGAGTCCAGCAGAGGTCAACAAAAATGATTAGGGGGCTAGAGGAGAGGCTGAGGGAACTGGGATTATTTAGTCTGCAGAAGAGAAGGGGGGATTTGATAGCTGCTTTCAACTACCTGAAAGGGGGTTCCAAAGAGGATGGCTCTCGACTGTTCTCAGTGGTACCAGATGACTGAACAAGGAGCAATGGTCTCAAGTTGCAGTGGGGAAGGTTTAGGTTGGATATTAGGAAAAACTTTTTCACTAGGAGGGTGGTGAAGTTCTGGAATGGGTTACCTAGGGAGGTGGTGGAATCTCCTTCCTTAGAGGCTTTTAAGGTCAGGCTTCACAAAGCCCTGTCTGGGATGATTTAGTTGGGGATTAGTCCTGCTTTGAGCAGGGGGTTGGACTAGATGACCTCCTGAGGTCCCTTCCAACCCTGATATTCTATGATTCTCTGATTCTTTCCCCCCCCCCCAGGGTCTTAGACAGTGATCAAGTCACTGTTTAATCTTCTCTTTAATAAGCTAAATTGATTGAGCTGCTTTAGTCTCCCATTGAATCATTCTTGTAGCTATTTTCTGAACCCTTTCTTATTTTTCAACCTCTTTTGTGCCTACCAGCACTGGATACAGTATTTCACTAATAGTTTCACCAGTGATAATATCACCTCCCTACTCTTACTTGCTATTGCTGTTTCCTTACTTATACTCTCAAGAATCATATTTGCTCTCTTAGTGACAACACTGCCCAGGGATCTCACGTTCAGTTGATCTTCTACCATCACCCACTGATTGCACAGTAATGCTAAACCCTACTCCTACCAAGCAAACCGCACCTCTGTGCCCACATGTAGCCTATCATTGCTGTGCTTTCTGCAGGATCAGGGACTACATCTCCCAAATGTTAAAGTGTCCCTCACAATATTGCCATCCCCAAGTGTTCTAAAGTCATGAGCAAAACCTCAAAAAATCACAAGGTTGGTTTTAAAATGAGCTTTTAAAAAGCAGAGAGTCCTTCTATCTGCCTTCGGGTTTTGAGCCAGCTGGGAGTCATATTTTCCAGCTTCCCTCCACCACCCCCAGCCAGATTCAGTGACATCCTCTTTAAGCATAAGTGGAGAATCTCAGGACTCCAGGAGCTGGGGCTTTAAGGAAACACCAAATAGTACAACCCTGCCCCTTTTCCCCTCTCTCTCTGGGTTAATTTTTTCCCTCCTGACAGCTGTACTGCCCCACTGCAGGGAAAGCACACGGCAGCCCCCCTGCTGCACCACTGTCCGCATCCCAGTTCCTCCGCGGCTTCTCTGCCCTTCCTTCTTCAGTCCTCGCCGCGCTCTGCTTAGGGAGCCGATTTTGCAGGCAGGTGAGGGCGGCGGCTTCAGGGTTGTCACTGCGCCTGCTCGGCCTCCTCTCTCGGGCATGCGCCTGAGTGAGGGAGCGTGTTTCGGAGCCGGGCTGTGTGCAGCGGCGCGTGCCCGCGGCGGCTCCCGGCGCGCGCTGTTAGACGTGGCAGTTCACTGGGCGGCCGCGAGCGGAGAGGAGCCGGGATCCACGCGCCGGAGACAGCTGCTGTGTGACCGGCCCGAGCGTGCGAGCCAGAGAGACACGGGGGAGGGGGGCTGCACACAGTGCACAGGTAATGGAAACCTGGTTCAGTCGTGGGGAGCAGGGTGTGTTATATGCACACAGCGAGGGGGTGCATCCTATATACTCCCTGTTAGGGAGCAGCAGGGGCTGCGTCCTATATACACAGCATTGGGGGGCTTGCAGGGTGGTGCACATCCTATGTGTACAGCTTGGGGGGTGCGGCATGAGGGTGCACCCTTAATACACACCAGCCGGGGCTTGGTGGTGCAGCCTATATGCACATAACTTGGAGTACAACGTGGGGTGCGTCTTATATGAGCAGCACTGGAAACTTGGGGAAGGAGTAGATACTATCTATATACACAGCATTGGGAGTACATGGGGGGTGCATATACAGAACTGGAGACCTGGGGGAAGAGTGCATCATATATATACAGCGTCGGGGTTTGCTCTAAACACAGAGTTGGAGTTTGTGAGGGACTTGAATCCTGTATGCACAGTATTGGGGAGCAGCAGAGTGGAGTGCATTATACACACATCCCAGGGTGAGAGGTATGCATCCCGCACTGGAGAGCAATGGGATGGGGTGTATCCAATATACTAGGTAACAGTGCGATCAGGGGAGCATGCACCCTACATGCACAGAACTAAGGGGGAGCCCAGGTGAACATGTATATCCTACATGAGTAATTCAGGTGGGGGACCAGTGGAGGAATGTCTCTCATACACAGTATTATTAAGGGGAAGATGCACAGTACAGTAAAAATGTTTTCACCCCTCAGCTCAGTCGTCACTGCTTTCAGCTTGGATTGTTGTCTGGCTTTCTAGTGTATAGTATGCAAAAATTGTAGCAATTGTCTAAGTTTGTAAGGTGCTAGGGGCAGGGACCCTGGCTCCCTCTATGTATTGTGCAACACCAAACACACTAGCACTTAAATAATAAAAATAACAACCAACTCCCTTGCATTGGGGTGAGTGTGTTTTTATATTATAGGTATAAGTCCCTGATCTTATAGTGGCACCTGTGTGGATGGGCCTATGTGCTTTTCCAGAGCCACACTGATTTCAGTGGAACTCTGCATGGGCACAGCAATTATCCTGAATGGACACAGCTGCAGGATTGCAACCTAGCTGACTACTGATGTCATTTGAATTAGTGAAGTGTTAGGGAGGGTTTTGGGAAAGACATAATGATAAGAGAACAGAGGAAATAAAACTTTTTTCTATTTATATTTATATGTAGATATATCAATAGAGAAACTTGTGAAAAGGACACCACATGCAATAGAAGACCCCTGGTTTAAGACGCGATCTTAAAATTTCCTGTGTAGTTTCCTGTACAGTTTTATACATCTCTAATTAAAAGTCCAGCCTTAACTAGTGGATCATTTGATGCTGGTATCTTGGGTAGTGTTTTGGAGCAGGTTTCACTGTGTGTTCTGTATATATGTATATCTGTGTCTGAGGGGGGTTATTTCTGATGCATATGAAATACAGTACAAGATGAGTCAGATTAGTAAATTGGCATTATGTTTGTTTGAGAGTCCCTCTCCTTCTTACACAATATTTCTCTCTTTTTTTTTTTAATGTGTGGAAAGTTTGACGTGGCAAGTTGTTTTGGGTTTTTTTTTGGTGACTGAGTAGTGGAGTAGTAGTTGTTTCCCTTGAATATTGTCAGGGCTAAGAAAGGTGTTGGCTGCTGAAACCTTCTTAGAGTGAAGATTTCTCTCTTCCTACATTTAGTGCTGACTGTTAGGTAAATCTATTCTAGAGTGACCAAAGCTCATGTTGCCACGTCTCTCTCTGCTGGGGAAAAAAAAAAGTACTACTGGCAACAAAGCACCCTCTAGGCTTTCTCTTTTTTCAAGCTTTACCTTAGTAGCTAAGGAACAAATGACAGCTCTGTCATCTTATCTGTTTGGAACTGCTGAATATCTTAAACAAAATATCTTAACAAAAATATCTTAAACAATTGGGGAATCTTGTGTATAGGAGAATTGTGAGCATTCACCACAGGACTGGGTGTAAGGAGATCTGGGACTTGTTCCTGGTTTAGCCGCTAATTTCCTGTCTAACCTGGGAAGGACGCTTAGGCAACATTTTCCAGGAGTGCCCATTAATTTGGGGTGCCTTATTTTGTGTGTGTGTGTGTGTGTGTGTGCACAACTTAAGGCCCCTTGGGTGCTGAGTACTCTCAGCTCTCCTTGATTTCATTTGGGGTTTTGGATGCTCAGTATCTCCGAACAATCAGTCTCACGTTGGTTACCAAAAATCAGTGGATTTTATTTTTTTCAAATTTTGATTCAGGGGATTCTCTGGTTTGGTTTCTTCACTCTGTAAAAAAGGGATAATGATAATTAACTAACAGGGCTGGGTAAGTAAACAATTTTAATATTTGTAAAACATTTTCACATCCCCTAGTGAAAGGTGCTATGTAAATACAAAGTAGCGTTATGAAATGTGGTAGTCTAGCTCAATGCACTATGCTTCAGAGTTTATAATATTCATCTTAATTTTTAGCTCTACCCAGGGAAAAGCACTGCTTTTCTTGTCTTGAAAATAAGACCTTCCTGTAACAAACAAATGCCCAAAGTGTTATTACAGGTGAGATCAAGGTTTCAAACAGAATGAAACGAAATTCCTGGCGTCAGAAGGTCTAAAGTCACATGTGGGTGTTGGTTTTTGTTTCTCTTTAAATCAAATGCTAATAAAACAGTGGGGGTGGAAGAAGGGGAGAGTAGTAGCTGAAGTTGCCCTGTGGGAAGGGGGTAGCAACTTCTTGTCTGTTGAAACACTTTTATGCATTTGCTAGAAGGATCCATGTTCTGATGATGATGAGCAAGTTTGTCTGGGCAATCAATGGAAAAGAAGATTGGGTCTGTCAAAGTAAAAAGCAGAAAGATAAAGGAAAGCAGGGGTTAGGTAGCTAGCTGGTTGGCTGGCTGGGATCTGTAAAGGCTAACTGGAGGGAGCCTGCCCAGCCAGCCATCAGCTGTGAATATGAACCTGGGATTGGTTAGGAAGCAGGTCTCCTGTACCCTGTTGTGTTTACTGAGCCTCCATGCCCCATTGTCCAGCCTGCCTCCCTGTGACCAGAGGTGGGGAGGTCTGTAAGGAGCAGAGCTGGGTAGCAGGGAGTCAGGTTGAGCAATGGGGTTAGGAAGGCACTGATAACTGAAGTAGCTGGTGTTGACATACTTGCCGGCTTCTCTTGGAGTAATAAAAATGACTAGGACAAAGAAAGCGAATAACTTTTTGTTCTGCTTAAATCTGAAAGGGGTCCAACGCCTGAGCTGTGGTGCTAATGCAGATGGGTGAGACATTCTGGATTTGCAGTTATAGAGATTAATTCATCCGTGCACTGTAGGCCCTTTGCTCCAGCTAAACCAGCATGAAAGGACCTTGAATCATCCCTCACTACTGGGAATATGCCCGGTTCAGGAGGCTCAATGCACAACTGGCTCTGTGCCTCTCTCCTCTTCTGCAAGACACCCTGGTGCAAGAGGTGTATTGGGGTAGGACGAGTAGTTGCTGGAGTGGTCCTGCCCCATCCTGATTCTGCTTTTCTTGCATTTCCTCTGTATCCTGTGGGATCTGTGGTGTTTGGGAAGCGGACCCACAGTCTATTCTTTGGGGGCAAATGCAGGCCATTCTCTCCCCCTCCTAATAGAACAGTGTAAGGAGTTTTCTTCCACAGAGATCACCCCCCAAAAAAACAAACTCCAACTCTGTAATCTTTTCCCCTGGGATGAAGTGACTATGTCCAGATAAATTTAGTGATTTGTTCAAGTTCACACAGTAAGGCTGTGGAAGAGATGGGAACAAAATTGTTCTCTTCTCGACTCGGAGTTTATGTTGCCTTAAGGTTTTCATGCATCCCTTTTAGTAACAAAAATGTGAGTCGCGTAGGATGCTATGGAGTAAGTGTTGATGGAAATCTTTCCTTTACAGACTCGTAAGGAAGATTCCCATTTGGAATGAGAATAGTATCGGAATGAGCCAACAAGGTTATGTTGCAACACCTCCATATTCCCAATCCCAACCGGGTATTGGAGGTTTTTCTACAGGCTTTGGACCACCTACTTCTTCACCTCTTTATGGGCATTATGGCGACCCAAACCTATCATACTCGGCACCTCAGTCAGGTAAGGCAATACTAGCGTACTGTGTGCTCAGGGCCTGATTCTTAATTGTCTTGCATCTCATCTAATCATTTACACCAGTGCAAAATGCTCAGTCTTGATTTAGTGCAAATGATAAGACAATATGCAGAGCAACAAAGAGGCCTTTCATGTATACTTACACGGCATGTGAATTTTGCTTTGCAGGGAACAGTAAGTAGTAGTTGTGTTTGGATACCAGAGTGATAAGAAATGCCTAATATATGCAGAGAGAAGGAAAGAGTTAAAAATCTTTTCTGAAAACAAAGAGAGGTATGTTCTAAGCTAACCTCTTTGATGGGAGGTGGCCACTTCAGAAATGAGCTGTTTTCTGCTGTAGGACCAATAATTGATTAAAAAGATTAATGAGATCCTAACCGGGATCTAGACTGTAACATCCAGTTGGTACTTTACTCAGTATTGTACTCACTGAGTTTGTTTTTTCTGTGGTGGGGTTGGTTAAAAAGAGGAAAACATAGGCCAACTATCTGATCATATATGAGCCAATTGGCTTCTAACAGGGAAAATAACCTGACTAGTTTTTATAGACTGGATGGAAAGTTGCTCATTATATCTCAGAATGATATGTCTACTGATTAATACACGGTAATTGACAGACATCAGATAAAGCAAAGCAGGACAGCTGCAGTCAATATTTGTACATACACACATGTCAGGATACAAAACTCAAAAAAAGATTGCCAAACTGAGGCTCCAGATTTTTTTTTAGAAAGTAGAGTATGTGATTGAACTTACATAGGGTTGATGCAAGAAAATGACCAAAGATTTATAATGGCAACCTATAGAAGACCTGATTCTCTACTCACTGACCGGTGTAAATCAGGTGTAATTTCAATTAAGTTAAAGGAGTATATACTGGAGAGAAAAATCAGGGTAGTAGCCTTTAACCAAAGGGTAAGGCTTAAAAAAGCGGGGAGGAAAACTTAATAACATTGATGGGCAGGTTACTGAGTCTGCAAAGGGAAATGACATACAAGTTTTGGCCAACATAAGAATGGCCATACTGGGTCAGACCAAAGGTCCATCAAGACCAGTATCTTGTCCCCTGACAGTGGCCAATGGCAAGTGCCCCAAAGGGAATGAACAGATAGGTTATCATCAAGTGATCTATGCCTTGTCACCCAATCCCAGCTTCTGGCAAACAGAGGCTAGGGACACCATTCCTGCCCATCCTGGCTAATAGCCATTGATGGACCTATCATCCATGAATCTATCTAGCTCCCTTTTGAACCCCATTATAGTATTGGCCTTCACAACACCCTCTGGCAAGGAGTTCCAGAGGTTGACAGTGCGTTGCATGAAAAAATAGTTCCTTGTGTTTGTTTTAAACCTGCTACCCACAGGTGCTGACTCCGTGGGTGCTCCGGGGCTGGAGCACCCACAGGGAAAAATTGGTGGGTGCTCAGCACCCACCGGCAGCTCACTGCCCTCCCGCCAAGCTCACCTCCGCTTACTCTCTGCCTCCTCCACTGAGCATGCCGCATGCCCGCTTTTTCCCCCTAGCTCCCAGTGCTTGCACCGCGAAACAGCTATTTTGCACGGCTGGGAGGGAGGGGGGAGAAGGGGGAAGGCGGCGCGCTTGGGCAAGAGGCGGGGCCAGGGCAGGGATTTGGGGAAGGGGTTGGAATGGGGGCGGGGCAGGGGCAGGGAAAGGGTGAAGTTGGAGCAGGGCCTGGGGTGGGGGGCGCGAGCACCCACCGGCGCTGGGGAAAGTTGGTGCCTATGCTGCTACCCATTAATTTCATTTGGTGGCCCCTTGTTCTTGTATTATGAGAAGGAGTAAATAACACTTCCTTATTTACTTTCTCTACACCACTCATGATTTTATAGACCTCTATCATATCCCTCCTTAGTCGTCTCTTTTCCAAACTGAAAAATCCCGGTCTTATTCCTCTCTCCTCATACGGAAGCCGTTCTATACCCCTAATCATTTTTGTTGCCTTTTTCTGAAGCTTTTCCAATTCCAATATAACTTTTTTGAGATGGGGCGACCACATCTGCACGCAGTATTCAAGTTGTGGGTGTACCATGGATTTAAATAGAGGCAATATGATATTTTCTGTCTTATTATCTATCCCTTTCTTGATGATTCTCAACATTCTGTTCGCTTTTTTGACTGCCGCTTCACTTTGAGTAGATGTTTTCAGAGAACTATCCACAATGACTCCAAGATCTTTCTTGAGTGGTAACAGCTAATTTTGATCCCGTCATTGTATATGCATAGTTAGGATTATGTTTTCCAATGTGCATTACTTTGCATTTATCAACATTAAATTTCATCTACCATTTTGTTGCCCAGTCACCCAGTTTTATGAGATCCTTTTTATAGTTCTTTGCAGTTTGCTTGGGACGTAACTATCTTGAGCAGTTTTGTATCATCTGCAAATTTTGCCACCTCACTGTTTACCCCTTTTTCCAGATCGTTTATGAATATGTTAAATAGGACTGGGCCCAGTACAGATCCCTGGGGATCAGAACATCAGAGAGGCAGGGAGAGCACATATTAAAATAGAATAGATGTTTGAGCTGTTTTTCAGGTCATTTATAGAAGGACTTATAAGAGAGGACTATAAGAAGATGAAAACTTAGATTAAGATTTACATTTTTCAGATATTAAGCAGGATCAACAGCTAATTAGAAGGCTGATTTCTTCATATTGCGCAAGATTGTATATGTAGTTTGTTGAATAGCCTGTCTACTTTTCTTGTTCTCATGAAATGAGTGTCGGAGAAAAACAGAGTTCTCACTATTTGTTTAGGTACAGCAAGTCAGATGCTTTATTAACTCTCACAATTG